AAGTAAATTCATTATTTTCATAGATTATCAATACCCACTGTCAAAATGTAATTTAATGCATCTTAACATCACTCACTATGTAATAATTTAATGTCCTATATCGAAATGATAATTATTTCATTAATGTATATTATCTATGGAATTGTTTATATGTACAGTGTAATTTAATTACACTGTAATAAATGTAATTTTCTATAACTTTTCCAATCTATGTACAGGTAACTTGTTTACCTCTTTAGGCAATTACAAATGTACGTGGAATAATTCACGAATTTTATATTTTTTGGATCAATAAATTAAATTCAATAACTTTATATAGCATTATGTACTTCATTTTGTCGTTAATGATCTTTGCGGATGCGACATTAAATAAATAAATTAATATAAAAATTTAATTTTTCTGAAATTTGTTCGTTTAAAAAGACAAGGTTTCTCAAGAAAAGACCATAAAATGAAAATACAATGCAACACGATCTTAAAAGATATTGAAAAATGATGCATGACAAACCATCCACCCGGACCCTTCTAAAAATGTTACGGGAAATAGGTCTATATACGAGGTCTGTTCGGAAAGTATTGGGCCTACCTTTATATTTTCGTGCTAGCCTTATTCTTTATCATCTGGTGGGTCGCATCCTTCAAAGTAATCCCCACTTGATTGAATAACACGGTTCCATCCATCGATGTTTCCACTTTTCAAAACAGTCCTGGAACTAACTTTTAGGGATATCCTAAAGTACACTCGTCGCATTGTTTTCAACCGTTGTTTTGTTATAGAATCGGTGTCCTTTGAGTGGTTTTTTTAGTTTTGGAAACAGCCAAAACTCACAAGGGGCTATGTCGGGACTGTATGGAGGTTGTCGAAGCAATGCGATATTGTGTTTGCTCAAAATCTGCTGCACAAGATTGTATGAATACGCTGGCGCATTATCGCGATGGAGAAGCCAGTCACCACTTTCCCAAAAGTGCGGCCGTTTTCTTCTTACTGCATCACGCAAACGTTTTAAAATTTGAACGTAGTATTTTTTATTGATTGTCTGACCTGCTGGTAAATATTCGTGATGTACAACACCTTCACAATCTAAAAAAACAGTCAACATTGCCTTAACATTGCTCCGACTTTGACGTGCTTTTTTTGGTCTTGGCGATTCAGAATGCTTCCACTGTGAAGATTGTTGTTTTGTTTCAGGATCATAACCATAAACCCATGATTCATCACCTGTAATAACTTTTCTAAGCACATTATCATCATTATTGACCATTTCCAGATTGTCCAGAGCGATTTCTAAGCGAACGTTCTTCTACTCTGCTGTGAGCAATTTTAGGATGAATTTCGCACAGACGCGTTTCATTCCTAAATTTTTGGTTCAAATTTCTGAAATGATAGTTTTTGGTATTCCAAGGTCTTCTTCTAGTTCTCGCACAGTCATACGACGATCTTGTTCGATTGCAAGTCGCACCCGCTCAATATTATCTGCGATTTTTGTCGTCAAAGGTCGGCCGGAACGAGGATCACTATCGACAGAAGTGCGACCATCCTTGAACCGTTTATACCACTCTTTTATTCGTACTTTGCTCATACACTCGCTTCCGAAGGCCTTTTGCGTCATTTCAATAGTTTCCGAACTCGCTTTTCCGAGTTGAAAGCAAAATTTGATGCAAATTCGTTGATCTTGTTTTTCAGTCATTTTTGACAATATCAAAATCCGACTAACGCGAAAAAGGCACTGTAAATAAAGACACGCTGCGCATGAACTATACGTCCGGCAGGTGTCAGTAAGTAACCAATAGATTCGTGAGGCTTTACTGTTGACGTTTCTGTCCGGTAGAGGTCGCTCGAACACTATGGCGTGTAGATATAAACGTAGGCCCGATACTTTCCAGACAGTCCTCGTACTCATAACTATAGAGAACCAAGACTAATCCTACAGGTACTTAATATATCTCTGCAGCGTTTCATTTTAATCTAGTTCTTCAAGTAACAACAACAACATTAATAGTCTGCTCGCTACACTCGCCAACACCCTATACTTGTAAAAGTTCATTTACAGGATATAAAATACAGAATAAAATAGTACTCGTATCTCGTAATATTAAAAAGAGACATAGTTTCAAAGTCTGTATACAAAAAGGGATTGTTTACGAACATGTTATCCGGAATCGCCAGATCTAACGGTAAAACGGTAAAACGGATCTAAAAGCTAAAACGGTATCGAATACTCAATCGCGTTACGTCTTGATTCCTATAAGTTGTAACGGGGATTTATCCCGTTGACATAAATAATAAATGACAATAAAAGGAAATGAGATGACTTCGGGCTCGGTTATGCAAGATGGTTCGGCTTGTTTCCTACCTGGGACTCCAATCCACCAGGTATTGTCGGGGCGTCGTGGCTCCAATGCCAGATCGAGGCGCTAGACCCGCACGCTTAAACGCGAAACTCGAGGGATCGACAGGATTGGCGGATCAATGAATTAAAAACAGATTTTAAATTAGTAAAAAGATAAAAACAGTGAGAACAGTAGACATGGTATTTATTAGCGATAACTAATAAAGAGAGAGAGAGAGAGAGAGAGAGAGAGAGAGCAAGAAGCCAATTGAATAGAGAAATAAGGTGCGCGTTGGTACTTACAAATCGCTGTCCCGAAGAAGTTGGTTCGCAGCAGGCGCTCAATCGGCAAAAGAAAAGGCCCCGAAGAGGCAGCCGCCGGTGGCAGAAGGCCGTCACACACACACAAAAATACTCTAGCTCTCTTCCTTGATCCTGCGACTATCCAAGCTCTTCTCTCCTGAATATCATCGTCAATTTCGTTGCCGCAAGCTTGAGTATCAAGAAGAAAGGGAATCGGATCGCTCGCCGGGTACATGTGTTCGCATCGAAACCTTCCAGCCGAATCTCTTGCACCGAGAAACCGAGCGTCTTTCTCGCAGTCCTTGCGTTCAATAATCGAACCCGTTTTTCTCTCTGTGCGACTCTCTCTCTCTCTCTCTTTCTCTCACCTACCTTATTTTAGCCCGCTGAAACTTAGTGATACATCTTAATACACAGTTAATTTAGAGTATATTATGATATGGGAGAGAGAGACATAACGAGCAGCAGTCGCACTCGTTATAAAGTGATATTGATAAATTAAGACATAAATATACAAAACTTGCACAATTTTCCAAATATAAAATAAGGATAGTTCGTTAATAATTAAAAATAAATGAATATAATAATTCCTTTACTTTATTATTGTTATTATATTAATTTTGATTCATATTAAACGATAAAATATTCTTAATGTGACCGCAATTTTAAAAACGGCGGTCACAAGCCTGATTAAACGCTATAAGCCGAAACTTCTGTCTCTTCCTGAAGACAGGAATGTAAATATTCATAATTATTTATTCGTAATAATTTTTTCGATACTCCATGCACAAAGTGCGTCTTTCCCACATGTTTGGCAGAAAACGTGCGTTGAAAATCGCACTTTCCACGCGTTGTATCAAAAAATACGATACGGCACATGTTCGGGAAAGAGTTTCTCATCTTGTATACCTTCCCACCCTCGTTTCGTTCGAGCGTAAACGCCACGCAAGACAAGAATCTACTTTTCCGCACTTGTATTGTAATGTACTAAGTATAATGTAATGTACTAAGTTGAAATAAGATTGTCTATAGCGCAGAGCAAATGTCAGCGAACTGATAAGTAACGAACCCAACCCTTCGATCGACTATCGATTGTGAATGCGCAATGCTAACCTGCTGGAGGAGCGATTATCGTGAGGAGAGATAGAAAGAGAGATTGATTGATTAAACTTTATTAAGCCATGAGGTATAACCCCGTAGGCTCAAGAGAGAGAGAGAGAGAGAGAGAGAGAGGAAGAGAATAGGCGCGATGAACATAGTTAACAGCTGACCGGAAACAAGTACACATTCGTGAATAGTTTGAGATACAAGTTTTGACATAGAAAGAGAATGTCGTCTCTTTACGCTAGAAGCGATAAAAATCAAATGGGTAAAGAGTTCTGCATTGACAAGATTATTAAATAAAGACAAGCGATTACGCTTATTATTATAAAGGCGATAACGCTACAGCTGAGGATACATAATATTGTATAAAGCGTGCGCGCTAGTAGAGATCGGACGAACAACAAAAAGCTGTAAGTACTAACTTGTGGCTTGGCTTTCCTTCTCCTTCTTTCTCGTCTAGATGGCTTGTTTTGTTTACTCATTAGTAATAGTATCGCCGTTGCAGTTACAGTCATCATAAAGGGTCATATTTAAGTGAAGCAGTGTTGTACTTTTCATGAAACACTATCTTCAGTTCACTTTTTTCAGCTATCCACTTTAATATCACCGTTACATGACCGTGTAACAAAGATAAGTGAGAGAAAGTTGCTTTTTTGAACAATATCATTGAGTTTTGTTAAATAATGAATGCTATTGACATTGATTACTAGTATCAGTGATCAATGCTTTCTTTCAATTGCATTATTATTAGTGAATTAATAGGAATAGAATATTAAGTTTGGTACTTTAAAATCAATACAATAAATATCACAAGAACAAAAAAAATAACGCTTTAAACAAGGCTAATATTCCAAGAGTATAAGTTATAAATCCTCGGAACCTAAGGTCTAAAACATCTATTTCTTACACTTTAAAAAATTAAATTCAACCATGTGGTTCTAAGCTTTTAAACTTCTGGAACCTCGGAACCTAAGGTTATATTTCTTTCAACCTAAAACTTTCAAAACGGAAATGAATTCATAGAATCCTATGTCTCCAAACACTTAATAGATCCAAACTCAAAACTGTTTAAGCCTGAAATCTCAAATCTCAAACCTTTACTGCAAAACACTAATACACAAAACCTTAAGTTATTAAACTTCATAAATATCTGTATCTACGTAACCAACCTTGGTAAATCGAGCTTGAAACTTTCAATAAGCTGTATACTTATGAAACTGGATCACAAAGCAATATATAATTCATTATGATAATCATGCTTACCTTTACACGATCTTGGGTTGTATTGAATAAGTTGCATCTTCTAATAGAATTAAGAACTGGATCATTCCAGTCATCGATAACATTATGAGTTGTGATTGGAGGTAATCCATTTCGTTGTAGAGCATAAAGACATCTGAAAAATATAAAATAACGTTGATATAATTTACATAAATGTAGTAGCAAATTTAATATTAATTGGAATATTATATTTTCATGCAAACATAAATGTTTTTGAAATGAAGATTTAGAAAAAATGGAATTATAGTTAATGTAAAAAGTAAATAATTGCATAACTAATGAATACATGTATTTAGAGTTGTTAAATAATTTCCGGAAAAAGTTCCACGAAAATAAAAAAAGCAAATGTTATATTTTTACTTAAACATTTGGTCAAGAAAAATAAAACGGGATAATCTATATACTTCATGCAGTTGAGGATAAACTCAAAATATATATAAATCTATATCTTTAAGAGCTATCAACATGCGATAATACTATAACAAGACTGGACACTTTGTGAATTTAATTTAAAATATAAAAAATAAAAATAATATGCGTTGTGACTCCTCGGATAATATTGCTCGATCGCCAGTCAACAAATTGCTTTGGTTTGTAGATTATAAGATGAAAAATTGCTATTTGTAAAGATAGATATTGAAATAAATCAAGATAGAAATTTGTGACAAGGTATTAGAGTACCAAGTATCGCTGTTTTTTATTGCTTGCTTTTTTAATAGAACACAGCGATTTGACTCAGTCAAACACGTATGAAATGATGAAATACGTATATGTTTCAAATTTTGTTTCGTTACTGAGCTTGTTTAGTAGAACATAAAGGCGTCACGAAAGAGAAAAAGAGAGCAACAAAGATAAACAAAAAAAGGAAAGAGCGTAAAATGGAGCAACAAATGGCAGAATGATTAAGATTCAGTGCAATCTATGATAATGACGATGCTTGCCAATTTGTGAAGTTTCGAAAAAGAGAAAAAAGATAGTACTTTCTTTCTAGTAAAAAAGAGTCTATCTTTCTAGCGTTCTTTATTCACTTTTGATTTTCTATTTACAATGCCCGATGCGACTTTTTACATTGGAGGGAAAGACCGTTTCCGTGCGAATAAACCAGCCCCTCTTTGTTGTCTCGAGACCTCACTTATGATTAGGTTTTCTCTCTTCTCTATTGTATCGTAATACTGGTCAAACCAGTACTACTCGCGCTCTTTCGTTTTTCGCGGCATATCTCTTGCCCCTCCGTACATTCTTCAAAAACGGCCAAGCGCTGTCGGCTACCACACATGTACGGATCACGCCATGCGTCACTACTTCACTCTCTCTTTCTGTTTCTCCTCTTCTCACCTATAGCTATCAGTTGCTCCGATCACCGACAAAGATCAGGAATTATACCTAAAACAAGGTCACATCGAGCGTTGGTACTCTGTTCGAACGATCAAGATATCGATACGGCAGCGGCAACGGGGAAGACACGCGGAAGAGACAGATATTCCCCGCTAGTCAGTCTTTTGTGCAGCCTCCCGAGTGAAGATATAGCGTTTGCCCTGTCTTTTATTCTTTGTCACATAAGTATGCACTTTGAAGTTCACAACAGTGTATCGATTCGTCTGCATATGGCGATCTAACAAGGAAACCCCCCCAACCCGACCTCACCGATTTCAATAATCTTTTGATATGTTATAGTTCATCAAAAAATAAGACATACGTTTTTTTTTTTATCGGTGGAAAAACAATTTGAGGGGGTGAAAACAACCCTCAAAGTTCACCCCCAAAAATAGATTTTCCAATGTATCTCAGCATCTAATTGATATTTTACGACCAAACAAATTTCATATCACTTCTCATGTGAAAAGCAAACTAGCACATGCAATTCCGACCACAAGGGATGCAACCCTTATTTTTTTTATTTAAAATACTATCTATTTCATGGCTAATTTTATGAAAAAAATTAAAATAACCCGAAAAAAATTGGAAAAAATATTACCCTACATAAAATACAAAAATAAAGTTAATCTAGTCAAGGTTTTTTTTGAAACTACCCCCTTAAAGTTGAAAAACCACCCCTAAAAAATTGTTTTCAATACATTACAGGTGGTGTTGATAATTTAGTGTAAAATACGTTAAGCATCATTTATACTGTACAAACACAACTATTTCGTGCAGTTTCGACCACAAGGGTTGCAACCCCTAATTTCTGTCATCGAAATTTTTACCTTCTTTGTACCTATTTTTGAAAAAAAGTTCATAATGAGCTTGAAAAAATTAGTAAAAATATTACCGTGGATAGAATAAGAAAAAAAATTTACCTTTTATTTTTAAAACCACCCCTTATGTTCAAAAACCACCCCCAAAAAATTGTTTCCAATACATTCCAGGTGGTGTTGATAATTTACTGTAAAATACGTTGCTCATCACTTATAATGTACAAACACATTTATCTCGTGCAGTTTCGACCACGAGGGTTGCAACCCCTAATTTATGTCATCGAAATTTTTACCTTCTCCATTCCTATTTTTGAAAAAAAGTTCATAATGAGCTTAAAAAATTGGAAAAATTATTATCGTGGATAGAATACGAAAAATATGTACCAATTCAAGATTATATCACCCAACAAGACCCAGAACTGGGACAACGTTTTTCCAAAGTATTTTGTTGCGCCGATTCCGAATCTGTCTGGAAAAATGATCCATCACCCAGTAGCAATTTCTAAAACTCCCCTTATATTCCAATGGCAATTTCCCGCACTAACCCGCACTATCAGAATGCTTACAACCCCCCCTAATAACCCCCTAAAAACCTCCAATCAAAATGCCGTTAGCCCCCCACTAATAGCCCGAAGACATAGCTGAGCCCCCTTGCAACCTTATGGCAATGCTTGCAACCCACCGAATAACATAATGGCAACGTTATCAACCCTGCTAACTACTGGGGTTATTAGGGGGTTATTAGGGGGAGGGTCTTATTGGGGGGGGAGTTATTAGGAGGTTAATGGGGGGTTGTAAGCAATGCCAATGGGAGATATTAGGAGGGTTATTAGGGGGAGGTTTATTACTATCGCCATTCGGTGATTAGGAGGGTTGATAGCATTGCCATTGTTTTTGTTGGTTGAGTTTTTCTCCTTTCTTGTGACTAAAATTGTAAACTGCCAAGTAATATATATTTAATTGATTTTTATATGCGTTACTATAATTCATTCAGTTACCAATTAAAAACAATCAAAAAAATTAGGACGGATTTATTGTTCATACTTCTTACAATAATGATATTCTTCATAGAAGTGCTCGAAACATAATGATTTTTTGCACCAACCGCAACGTATAATAGCCACATTTTTGCATCCTTCTATGTCACAATGTGTATTGCAGGAATTTCCAAAACTGTAAGCAACAGGATTGTCAAAATTTTCTGGTTTTTTAGTGAGGTAACCACTCTTGAACCAGGAATATTTAAAAAGATTAGTATATCTTGGTGAAGATAATTGATTGTGGACTAACGACTGAAGTTTAATAATGTTGTTTCTATTATGTAAATCCAAATCATAATTCATCAAAATTACGGTATCTGAAAATTGGCGGACAAAGTTCTTCCATATGCGAAATCCAAAAACATCAAGTGGCTGAATTTTTCCCGTTGTGCCAGTCGGTATTTTTTTTAAATTTATAATTTTATCATGTGGAGTTACAGTTTCTATGGCACTGTCACAATGACCGCTCCAGGAGTCAAGCAACAGCATCGTATTGGAACCTACATTAGGGAAATATACTTTTTGCAGCCATATTTTAAAGAGATCTAAAATCAAAAATCTTATTTGTAAAATCATTTATAATGACATTAATTGTAACTAGATGGGATTATGTATACCTGTAGTCAACTTTCCAGATTTAGATGCTTCTACGTAAACATTTTCGGGTCTAAATAAAGTGGTTTCAACAATGGGTCCAAACTCGCCGCTAGATTCCTTCAAAACTAAAAAGAGTGGTGACAGTAATTCTCCTGTGGCTGATATGAGTGGCTGTATAGTATAACTGTGGGTTGTTGAAGAAACTGACTGTACTAAACACTGTACCTGCTTTTCTCCTTCAACCGCTAGCGTTCTTCCGGAGTGCATTTCCAGTTGGAATCCGCTCTGATCAGAATTAAACACATTATGAATTCCAATTATTCTTATGCCTGCTTTAACATCAGCAATAAAAGTATTTGCTTTAATCGTTAGTTCTGAATTACTTTCTAGTGTTTTCTTGGTTATAAACTTATTTATTTTCCGGGATACTATTCTATGAGCTTTCTTGAATTTACAAAGCCAGTTATCCGAAGCTTTGAATCTTACATCTTCTGATCCTATAATCTTTTGAGCTTGCAATGCCCATCGACGTATGTCACGATCATGAATGATGTAACCAGCGTCTACTGCTGCTTTCAAATTATCAAAAGTGTACTGACAAATTCTTGCAATTTTTTCTCTATAAGTACCACCTTTGTTGACTGTATGAGCCCAACGTTTCAACTGACTCACAGATGAAACTTTCTTAAATTTTTGACGTACACTTTCAACACTTAAATTTTTTTTTTTGCCACTTCTCCAGTATTCTACGGCTCTTTGCTTATATTCAAAACTGACATCTTCATTGTCTTTGGTACAATGGTCGGTGGGTGCTTCGAAATCGTCAGGAAAATGGTGTTGAACTTCATCTTCTACTATTTTTGCAGCATGATCTTTGTAATCTTCTTGAAAATCTAATGTATCTTCAACGATCATATCTACTTCATTGAAATCATTCACGGAATCTATTAAAATGCTTTTAATTCTTTCCGACAATTGAATCTCTTTATAATTTGTCTCACTTTCAGGTATTTGTAGAGTTTGAAAGTAAGCTAATAATAAATTTAAAACGTTCAGAGCGTTAATTTTCATTTTTTAATCTGAAATAAAAGAAAAAAAATATATATATATATATATTATATATCTTCTATTATATTAAACAGAAGGCGCGAAATTCTCCGTGCGTCCGTCCATCCATCCGTCCCCCTTTTTTCCTTATTTTTCCTCTGTATAGGTCTCTCCTGATATCGCTGGGGAATAAGAAATAAACTGAATAACAAATAAACAAATTAGAATAAAAACAA